CAGAAGCTCTTGTATTTGTGATTATATACATGGTCAATGTTTGCTGAAAGTTTCAACAGCCAAAGGGGCAGCCAAGTCAGTGGTTAGTGATAGGGTGTAATGTATACAAGTTGCAGAACTGAACTGGTCTTGGTGTAGCAGTGGGCTCAGAATTTTAATATTTCTTAATGATACAGAGCATATGCTTCTGTCTCTGTAAAGAGTGACACTTCAGCATTATTATTTTCCAGCTTTGTGACTGCAATAACTACAATTGGCTATTAGTTTTAATTAGTTTCTGAAACTCCTACACCACACTACAGAAACACAGATCTAACCAGATAATCAGAAAGAGGCGCAGGGCCTCATGAGCTCCAGATGGTGGATTAGCTTCTTAAAGGGAGAGGTAACAGGCCTCAACTCAGCCTTCTCTGAGTTCCACCTCTTTTCTCAAATATATAGGGATTGGGTTTAGTTAACTAGGTGAAAAAATAGAGGTTATTGCATCAGTATTATTGCTTCAAATTATCCAGGGATGAGGTCTGTCCTTAGACTAGATTCCTGGTTGAAATTCTGGAGAACCCTGGTTGAAATAAAGCCAAGTTGGCCGAAAGTATGAAAGTATATGTAAAAAATTAAGGTCCTTTCTAGAATTTTTTTTGGCAAATTATGTGCGGTCCTCCAATGTGAAGACCTGCCCCTCTCCCTAGGGTTGCCAACTCTGGGTTGGGAAATACCTGGAGATTTTGGAAAATGGAGTAATCCGCCTGAATAGGGTGGGGTTTGGGAAAAGGAGGGGCCTCAGCATGGTACAATGCCATGGAGTCCACCCTTTAAAGCAGCCATTTTCTCCAGGGGAACTGATATCTGTAGTGTGGAGATCAGTTTTAAAAGTGGGAAATCTCCAGGCCCCACCTGGAGGCTGGCAACCCTACCCCAATTTCCCAGGTAGTGACTCTTCCAACTCTTCCTCTGAACCAGGCCCATCGGCCTTTCCTAAGTGTTTCCAGTGGGAGCTGTCCCTACAGCCCCACTAAGGTGATCAACTTGGTCAGACTACAGATCACATGTTTAAATGCTCTTCTATGCAGGCAAAAAATTACCTCAATACAAAAAAACACAACAAGCCTGGGAGAAGGGCTCTAGCTAGCCTTCCCTCTCATATCTTCATTTTCCATGCCACAGTAACCTCAAGGCTAGACTACTGTAATGCACTCTATATGGGTCTGAGGTGGAAACTACAGCAGTGCTAAATGCTGCAGCTTGGTTATGATGGGAAGTTAGACAGAATATGGATGTAATATCCATATTAGCTATAATAGCTATGGATGTAATATCCATAGGTGTAATAGCTTTGCAGCCTTTGCTCCACTGACTGCTGTGTTACTGGGTTCAGTTCAAGATGCTGGTTGTCAGCTACAAGACCCTTCATACTCCAGGACCCACATATCTGCAAGATCGCCTGTCTCAACATATTTCTTTCTGAAGTTCCACCCTACAAGTGGGTAAAGACAGCTGCCTATACCTGAGCACTCTCTGTCATGGCTTCCACCTGGTTAAAATGGCCTGCCCGATGAGATCAGGAAAGTTCCCACACTTTTATCATTCTGCACAACTGTGTAAAACGGAATTGTACAGAAGAGCCTTTTTTATAATATAAGGAATAAGGTTGTTAAATCTAGGCAGTTTCCAGTTGTTTTCTTCCTGTTACGTTTTTCACTGTTCTCATTGTATTGTTTGCAAATTTTGCAATTCAATTTTGTGACACTATTTGTGTATACTATACCATTGCATTGCATTGTTCTCTAATTTTGTAAACCAGTTATTGTTCACTGTTGGTTGTGTATTTTGTATTGTTCATATGGTGCTGTTTTTAACGGAGTAATCCGCTTTGAGTCTCAGCGAGACAGGAGGATAATAAACAATGTAAATAAAAATAAATGTACCAGGAAATTTTTGCATGGAAGAACATTCTGCCTCAACCTGTTAGCAGAGATGAGATACTGAGTTACCACTTGTTCAATGCCAGTTTGGTGTAGTGGTTAAGTGCGCAGACTCTAATCTGGGAGAACCGGGTTTGATACCCCACTCCTCCACTTGCACCTGCCTGGATGACCTTGGGCAAACCGTAGTTCTGATAAGAGCTGTTCTTGAAAAAGAGCAGTTTCTGTCAGAGCTCTCTCAGCCCCACCCACCTCACAGGGTGTCTGTTGTGGGGAGGGGAGGGGAAAGGAGATTGTGAGCCGCTCTGAGACACCTTTGGGTAGTGAAGGGCGGGGTACAAATCCAATCTCTTCTTCTTCTTCTTCTTCCTAGGCCTGAGTCTTACCCTACTCCCGTCAACCGCAGCCTGCACTCTGGACTCCCTACCTGAAAACTGCAACATGTTATGGCCTGAGTCTTACCCTACTCCCGTCAACCACAGCCTGCACTCAGTGACACAAATGAAGCTGATGGCCTGACGAATTAAGGTAGTTTCCAGTGGGCTCACAGACTTGGCAGGGTCAGGACACCCTACGGTGCCACTGCTGGTTAAAAAAGCAGGGAATTTATTTCCCCCACCTATGGCCTCACCATTTCATGGACCACAGTGTAGCAAAAAAGGGAAAAGACTTTTAAGGGCGGGCTGAAAAAACAGAAATGCCAGCACACCTATGCCAACTTGCAGCAAGGCAACATGTCCTCCCAATCAATAACTTGGGAACCAGATATCACACTACAGTAGCTGCACAATACTCGCATGAACTTCCTAGGATTCCCATAAGAATCTGTCGATCCACAGAACACTTACAATAGCTAGAGGGGCTTTTCTTTAGACTCATTCAATATTAGCTCTTCCTATCAACTTGTGTTCCTTTGGGAGGACTGAGAATAACATCGTTCAGTTTTACTGAGCCCCAGGAGAAGAATTGCTAATACAATAGAACGCAACCCCTGACAAGCAAACTGTTTTGTCAGAAGGCAAGTTGGATGAGTTGTTTTGTCAGAAGGAAAGTTGTCAACCGGTGGAGTGGGCAACACCAACAGCAGTACACAGATTTTGCCCAGAGGCCACCAGTTGCTGACTCCTACTCTATGTGCAACTCTGCTGATGATCCACATCTGCGAAAACCAGAACTTAACTGCACCTGTGTGTAACAAACAATACAGCCTAAGTGCTGTTAAAGCTCTGAAGAAATAAGTTTGGACTTTGTACAGCAGAAGCAATTGTGACCTCAGCACCACCCTGTTTAGGGCATAGAGTGCAGTCTACAGATATCTACACAGTAGTTATTGTGTGATTGTCCACTGGACAGCCATTTGCAGGCCTAAGGCTATAAAAAGAACTTCTGGCTATGTCGGTCAATGATTTATCAATGGGGGGTTTGAGAAACGGAAGCAAATTATTTCCTATTTTTAGGCTTTCCAAAAGTCACAAATGCACCCCTTATGTAAAAACAGTTGATTCCATTTATGGATTAGCATTTGCTTCTGACATAGCCTAATTATGATGAATAAAAGCATAGGAAATTGACTCCGATGGACTTAGAAGAGCGTAATTCCGCTTCAGATTGCACAGTCAAGAATACAATCATTACTATGGGCAGATCAGACCAGTGCTCCATTAAGACGACTACCCAGTCACTATCCAGTGCTATCCAGATGCTCCAGAGAGCTGCAGAAGCAGGCCAGGATAGTGACAGCCATATTTGTCTACCATGTCCAATAATCTCAGGCACGCCACCTCTGAAATATAACTTCACTCCACTTAATTGTACTTTGCGTCTTGGTCTAAATCACTGTTTTAAATAAGGGAAATAGCAACTTTGTCTCTACTACAAACACAAAAGATGAAGCCAGTTTCAGTCAGGTGCGGTAAGTTTTAAGCACTGGCCCACAAAAGGAGCCAAGACCCATGGGGAAAACAGAAGATCCCAAAAGGCTTACTGATGAATTTAGTAATGGAAGGACCAAAAGTAATACATTCTCTTTTTTTGTTGAATGTACTGCTGTTTGGTTACATCCTAAGAACTATGGCTGTTGCCCACATCACTACAATGATAGAGTTGGTAGGTATAAATCAATGTAGTCCTACCTGATTTCACTGAGCCAAGGTTGGGATAAATCTAAGTATCCTGGTGTGGAACAGCTTTACAGTGTTGGGGGTCTCAGTCCATCTAATCCAGCATCCAGTCTCAGATGCCGGCTATAATCACAATGGGGCAGGTTGGTGCAAATTCCTCAAAGGTGTTTTAGACCCGGTGTACATACCTAACTAAGGCCTATTCAGAATGAATGAGGTGGCAGAGTTTTAACATAGCAGAACGGGCTCTACGACTTCAGGTGCAAGTAGTACCGTAGGTCATATGCTCAAGTGCTTCTCAGCATGAAATCATTCTCTGGAAGTAGCAAAGTAGGGCAACAAGGGCCATGGTAGGCTAGTATCTTTCTCATTTGTGTGCTGTTTTTTAATTGGCTCATTTTTACTTGCAAGAGTTTTTCACCTATCGGAATATTCAAAACCGAAATCTTGCCCCTGCAGCCTAATCTGCTGCTATCTCAGGAATCTACCACTTAATCTTGCCGCTTGCATAGACCAAGGCCAATTCATTCTGGAATCCAATTTTTGCAGGTGATCGCTACTTCTGGCTTTTTTGTGTCAGCTATTCAACAGGGAAGGAGAGCTTCTTTTAAATTCTGGTGCCTCTTACATTTATCCAGCACATTCTGGTTAATATGTATATCCCTAACCATCCCCTCCTTTAGCTATTTATAATTAACTGCATTAAGAATCTCAAGTAGTTCCATTCTCCATGCAATGCACAGTGATATACATGTAATAAGGTGTACACACCTACGACTTGGTCGTACAAGGAGACATACATGGGTACACATGAACTGTGGGGTGGAGGGGCAATTTACATATACTACACAACAGTGACAGGTTACTTGATATCCCAGGTAACACCCCACATTGATATCTGAGTCAAATGATCAATGCACACAACAGCTTCATGCACCGCTTGTGCCGCTATACATACCCGGAGGTTGTGGCAAGTAGGCCCCAATCAATTTTGATCTCTTCTTTTCATAGCCCTTCTGCGTGATGTCACCTGCCAAGGAAAGCAAAGGGAGGGGGAAAAGAAAATCAATAAAGCCTGAATGAAGATACAATCTGGTTGCTCAAGTGAGGTAGCATACGCTTTGCGACTGGGGCACTGTCTGTTTGTCCTGACAATTGTAATGAATGGACAATTGAAAGTGCATCACGATCATTCTGCCAAGGAAATTTGATTTACACTGGAGCCATTTTTGGCAACTGAACACCCAGCGCAGCTTATTCCGGCAGTGGGGAGTCCAAGAAGCAGAGGGATGCTTTGTCATTCTGATACTGTCACACAAAACCACATCAGCCTTCATTAAGTTAATCAACGGTGGATTATATAGAATGCTTTGGTCGGTAATGGCTGGCAAAAGACATCACCAATTAGCATTTTCTCCACTATTAATGGGGTTCTTTAATCAAGCGTGAAGGGCACACAAAAGATTTGGAACTGTTGACGTACTATTTAAATAACAATATAAACATTTGGCTAAGCTGCTAAGAACTACTTCAAGACAAAAATGCACAGCATCAAAAACGGTATCGAGCTTCCCACGACTGAACCATAAAAAGACACCATTTCCATCCATTCAAGACTGCAGTTGGGGTAAATTTCCTGATAGGCAGCATGAATCCCACTAACATCGACCTGGCATGCACACGCTTCTCTCATCCTGGAGGTGTACGAAGAGCAAGAAACCAAGATTGAAATCTCAGTTTCATTATCACTGTGACTAACTGATTGAAATGTTTAAATACAGATTACAAGCATGGCTTTTAATTTTATGTCAGTGCTCAGTCTGAAACCATTTCCTGACAATAGTGCCACTATATTGTGAAAACTCCAGCCCAGTAACACATTCTGTGCCCAGCCAAGATCTAGATCTAGAGTGTGTTTTTTGTCCCTCAGGTCAACTGCTACAGGACTGAAAAGCAGCAATGAAAAGTTACAGTTCTGTTTATTTATTTTAATTTAAAAGGGTTTATTTTTTTATTTTTTTATTTCTGTGCCATCTTTTCCACCAACTTGATCAGCCAAGGGCAGACGGTCTGGCTCCTAGCATTTATACCAAGTTTGACCAAGCCAGAAGTATCGTACTGTTTTGCCAATGACAGAAGGCAATGCTGCACACTCATCTTTGCCTAAAGAGATTTCTAACTGCAGTCCTGTTTAGTTTTCTCTCCCCAACTGCAAGCCTTGAGGTTCCTGGCAAAAAGACCTAGAGCTCTTGATGTTCTACTTAAGTTGGACTTAAACTATTTTTGTCCCACTGAAGTTGGAAGGAATATCACCTCTGCATTCCGGCACCTCTCTGACCCTTTATTCCGCCTTCATCTGCAGGCCAAGTGTGTTGGTGTGCTGGGCTACCTGATGGCCCTGAGATCACAACCTGCCACTCTGAGAACCTAAGAATGAGTTCCCAAACCTGAGTCTCGGGACCAAAGTCCAAGATCTGGGAACCGTATAGTGACGCGTATGGGGTCCAGAGCTGGAATGTAACCCCACTAGTAAAGGTAAAGGTCCCCTTGCTCGAAAGCCAATCGAGTCCGACTCTAGGGCTGCGGTGCTCATCTCCGTTTCAAAGCCGAAGAGCCAGCGCTGTCCGAAGACATTTCCGTGGTCATGTGGCCGGCATGACTAAACACCAAGGCGCACGGAACGCTGTTACCTTCCCACTGAAGTGGTACCTATTTGCAATTTCTTGCTTTCGAACCGCTAGGTTGGCAGGAGCTGGAACTAGAGACGGGAGCTCACTCTGTCATGCGGCAACTCGGGTCTTGAACTGCTGAACTACTGACCTTCCACAACCTGCCGTTCAGCGTCTTAACCACTTGAGCCACCACAGCTCCACTAGGGAAGATTTAAAAAACAGCTTTCCAGTGTGCGGTGTGTGTCCATACTCAACTCAGGGAGTTTTTCATTTAAGTTTTGACGAGAAAATGAAGGCAGCGGGTGCTTAGCTGCTCATTAATCCACTGCACATATGGCACATACGATTTGGTGTTGCAAAATATTTGTCCTGCCCTCCCCACCCCATTTTTCTGCAGCACAGATAATTCTAACCAATGTACTTGCCCTGCTCAAAAAAAGCTTTTAGTGCAATGTATATTTACAAAACAACAAAACAAATAAACCAAAACCCAACCCCACAACAGGAAATAAGTAAGGCATTCAACATGTTCACGCGATACAACAATTAAGTGGAAAAAATGTAACTTGACAGATCAAAGGCTTTCTTCCTGTTGCTTTCTTCTGCAGCTCTGCAGCTTTGGAAAACACTGAAACATAATCTGAGGACAGGATAACAAGCAAAGAAAACTTATCATTGGTGACAAGATCCAATACTCTAGCCTATCATTCGCTACAGAAGAAACTGGGGTGATCACCAGTTCCCTGGCAACCAGATTTGACACAGGAATGATGAATAAACATTCTATCTTGAGTATCTCTTTGAATCAGCTCCTAGATCATTCGTTCCCAAATTTTGTGCAGGGACAAACAAATATGCGGTGAGAGAAACTATGAATCCATGGCACACCTATCCCTCTCTTTCCAGTGGGCTTCTACATCATATGGGATTGGATAACGCAATGGCAAAAGAATTACCCACCCTAAGAGAAAGCTGCATATTGTATTGCTTAGCAAGTCATGGCTCAGGGCTTGCTTTCTCCCAAATCAAGACGTGCACTCACAACAGAGATGTCCAGAAACACAAGGAACAAGTGCTTCTCAGAGTGATGTTAATTTTAAACTTTCACAGACAAACAGATTGACTTCTGGAGAGGGAACGTAGGAAGGATGCCTCCAGTTTTAATTCCAAAATGCCCCAACCATGAGAAATTGCCCTGGATCTGCCTCTAGTTTGAACCCAGGGTGTTCACTTTAACCGCTGCACACAAAGAACTAGCCTGTGATTTCCATCAGACACACATACAACAACATGAAGCTTGATCGCACGCAGTTTTGGGTGTTTTCAGACAATGAAATTGCACCAGTATAAACTTCCCTTGAAAGCCATCTACGAAGTCACCGAGTTTCTGGACGAAATCTCCTTCCTTCCCCCGAAAACCTATTGCATCCTCGGAATATCCAAGTTGCTTTAAGACTTGTTCATAGCCGATGACTCAAGTTCACTGTCAAGATCTTGCCAAGGGAGATTTGAATGAAGCACAGCTCCTCATAAACGAGCATTATGACTCACTCGTTTCTCCCACTGATGATGCAGACAGGCTCTCTGTCTGCCCTTCCAAAAATACACAAGGAGACTAGGGATTGCAGCTTTGGAGGAAGCAAAGCTGCAGAAAGCGTAAGGAGAGAATATGTGCTAAAAGGAGACGAGGCTGATTTCACAGCCTAAATGTACACACAGGCAAGGATTCAAGGAACCAAGTAAACACATTCTACATGCCTAGCGGAGCTTTAGGCTAGAAGACCAGTCAAATCCCCTCCCCTGACATTCTTCTGGCAAAGCAAATCTGAAACTAGGAGGAGTCTGAAAGGTGACTTCAAATAACTGGGAGAGGAAAGGGGAGTCTGCTATTAAGGGGAGGGAAGCCAAACTCAACACTCACGCTAGGGCCTGGCAAAAGCCATCAAGTCGCGGCCAATGTATGGTGACCCCGTAGGGTTTTCAAGGAAACAGACCTGGCAAAAGCCATCAAGTCGCGGCCAATATATGGTGACCCCTCATAGGGTTTCCAAGGAAACAGACATTTGCCATGGCCTGCCTCTGCGTAGCAACCTTGGACTTCCTTAGCAGTCTTCCATTCAAGTACCAACCAGGGCTGATCCTGCTTCACTTCTGAGATCTGAAGAGATCAGGCTATCCTGGGCCATCGATAGAGTTGCCAACCTCCAGTTGGTGGCTGGAGACCTCCTGGGATTGCAATTTATCTCCAGGTGACAGAGATTGTAGAATAAAAGAATCATAGAATCACACCATGCAGGCCACCTAGTCCAACCCCCTGCTCAATGCAGGATCAGCCTACAGCATCCCTGACAAGTGTTTGTCCAGCCACTGCTTCAAGACTGCCAGTTCACCTGGAGAAAATGGCTGCTTTGGAAGGTGGACTCTGTGGCATTTTACCTCGCTGAAGTCCCTCCCCTCCCCTCCCCAAACCCTGCTCTCCTCAGGTTCCACCCCCAAATCGAGGTCAGGGCTGGCCGTAGGCCTATCTAAATAAATTCTTGGATTTAGACCGAAAGCTCCTAGATTCCTGCCTTAGTGTGGGAAACACACTATAGTCCCGTCCAATGTTCCCTCTAAGCTGTGGAGTCTTGTGAGCAAAAATTCTGCTTTGTGAGCGACTGGCATGAAAGTTGTGAGTGAGCAATTTGGCTGCTGCATCAATTAGTGTGCTCTGGAGCCATCCCTTCCTGAGCTAAGGCAAAAATCTGTGAGCCAGAGACTAAAAAACTGTGAGCTAGCTCACACTAACCCAGCTTAGAGGGAACACTGGTCCCGTCCCCCCCCCGCACCTCTTTTCAAATATTACCTAGTTTTCATTTCAGTTTAGCAAATCTAGTCCCTTCTGTGCCTGGAAGAAGAAAATGCTGAAATAAATGGGGGAATCAAGGGGAGCTGGGTACACTGTCGCAGAACAGGCCACATTCGAGTCCAGCAGCACCTACGGGACCCACAACACTTTCAGGGCATGAGCTTTTGAGAGGCAACGCTCCCCTGGTCAGATACCAAAGGAGGCTCTGACTCTCAAAAACGTACACCTCCAAAATCCTGTTGGGTCTCTAAGTTACTCCTGGACTCAAATGTAGCTGGTCTATGGCAGACAAACATGGCTGCCTTTCTGCAACTGTACTGCAGCAGAGAATGCCACAGATCACAACTTCTGTTTGTTTCTTCAAAGGAGAGTCTACAGGCTTGTAGCTACAGTGGGGCATTTCGGGGCCTGCCCCTCCAACTTCCATCCCCCAGCCCCCCTGGCTCTCTGGGCCGCCCAGATGACTCCCCATTGCTTCCCCTTCCCCAAGTGCGGTTTGCTTCCCTGCGT